TTAATCTTACAATGAGCTCATGTAGAAACAAACAAACAAATGAACAAAAGATTTTCTCCTTCGTTTCTGTCAAACAAAGCTGTATGAAACATTTCCAGCTGTTAGTATCATGGTTGCTAGGCAACCTGGGCAGCGCGACGGAGGCTAGACCCTCCCATTACACAAGCCTCGCACTTCCGGCCTTAGCAGTCTTTGAGTACGCGGCCCTTGTGGACCGTTAAGGCTGCATACTTTAAGTCTGCAGACCCTGAATTGGGATACAGCCATAGACTGGGGACCTGCCCAGGGTATACCCCGCCTCTCACCGTATGACAGGTAGAATAGACTCCTGCCACCCCTTGCGACCTGATAAGGAGAAACGGAAAAGGATGGATGGTGTGACAGCTATGTCCTAAATTCATTAAATCGTAAGAAAAAAAGGTGTGCATGACAAGTTGTTAATCGGACTTTGACTTTGTTGAAAACTAAATGGCTATCTATTAGCATTAAGTATTTTTGTTGGAGTAATGTAATTTGCATGGGTTGGATCAATTCAGTAAAATTAAGCTGGACTCAACTGCAGTGAAAAGGTTGGTTCGTCATTAATTCATTAAGTTGTTCTAAGTCAAGTACATTAGGTTGGAATGACAGAATTGCATAATGCTAAAATAACAAAATTTAACAACATGGAAATTTTTTCCATAATTATTTTTTTGTTCATTCAGATAGTTATTTGAATGAACATACAACCCCGTTTGAGCAAGGAAAAACTCGCTTTTAACAGGAAGAAACGGGCAGAAGCAGGCACAAGAAGGGGCAGCATTCTGCTACAACAAGTCGGGGGTAAGTTGAGAGATAAAAGACATGCTGTGGAAGAGAGCCAGAGACTAATAACTCATAATTAAATGCAGAGTTGTGAGAAGGGGTGAGAGAAGGAGAAATGCTCAGTGCATCAGCAAAGGCTGACTCTTTATATCCTTCTTGAGCATATCCCTGAATCCTCTCTATTTTTTCCTCTTTTCCTGCTGCCTTGTATCCACAATTGTGTCCTGGAACATATCCAAACTACCTCAACCTTTCTAGCTTTGTCTCTAGTGCACTCGATCTGAGCTGTCCCTCTGATATACCCATTTTGAATCAGGTTCATTCTGGTCATTCCCAGATCTGACTATCTTCAACTGTGGCACCTCAAATTCCATCTCCTTTCTTTTTGATAGTACTATCATTTGCACACCCTATGTCATATTAGGTCTCTCTACCATCTTATAAACCTTTCCTTTCACTTACACAAGTGGGACAGAAAAGTGCTATTTTAAATGGTATGCCATTTAACACTGTTTGGATGGTTGACCCCAGGTAAACAAAGTCATTTAACTTCACCATATCTACTCCTTGATTGTTACAGCTGTCTTGTTTGGATTCACGCCTTCTTCTTTTCTTTTTTTTTTAAACCAAACTAACAAATGCAAAAACTACAGATCTGCTCGTATAGTTATATCTCTACTAAGATGTATATACACTTAGACTTTGTACTATTTATTTTATTTTATTTTATTTTATTTTTTAATATTCATATTTTGAACAATTGGTTCCAATGCTGCAAATCTTATTTTTATGTGTAAGGTATAAATTTGAATGACAGTAAAGCATGTCTATGTCTAGTGACGAAATAGAAGACAACAAAGCAATGTCTTAACGATCATATGTTAACTGTAATTATGGTTTGTGTGTAGGAGGATTAATTTGTCAGTTGATTCTGTAAACTTATTTAACCTCCTAGTACCTTGCATCCACATAGGTGGACATCACATTTTGGGTTGTATAGACCAAAATCCTAAATTTTGCTCTACAAGGGCCTGATATTGACTTATACTGCCACTGTTCTATCAAAATGTAAAACATCCTCATATGTGGATCTCATTTTTCTCAGAAACAAAAATCAGGTAGATAAAAAAAAAAAATCAGGTAATTCTTTGTTTTTGCTATTTGGGCTGATTTGTCCCAATCAGCTCAAATAGCAAAGAGAGGATTTAATTTTCTTTTAGCCTTAAATTAAACAAACAACATATGAAGCAAAAGAAAAGCAAAGACAAAACAAACAAATAAACAAATAAACAAAACAAGTAAACAAGCTCCACCACAGTATAGTTACTTTCATATAAATAAGGACTGAGTGGTAACGTTTGCAGATTTACAAATTCTGAGACAAACAAATCAAAACACTATTACGAACAACATTACGGCCCTGGGTTAACCCTGTTTTCATCATTCTTATATTTGTTAAAAATTTGTTTTTTATATTTAATTTTAGACTGGTTTATATTGTTACTTTCTTTAATTTCTTCTGTTAGACTGTTCCATAATTTGTTTGCTGTTTTAAATGTCACCAAGTCTTGGAATTTAATAGCTTGCATTTTGAAAAATAGTCCATTTGTATGATCCCTGTACCTGCATTATTTATTAATCTGATGGCCCTTTTCTGTATTATCGTTGTTGTTTGTGTATTACTTTTGTATGTGTTTCCCCAGACCTCTACACAGTAGCTCATATACGGCAGTAGTAAAGCACAGTATAATATATGCAGTGCTTTCTGATCCAATATTTGCTTTGGTTTCCCCAGGACAGCAATACCCCCGTGCCAATTTCCCTCGAACATAAGTAATATGTGGTTTCCAACAGATCACACCAAGAAATTTTATTTCATTTACCCTTTCTAAATATACATTGTCAACACATATTTTTACTTTGATATTTTTCTTTTGGTTTCCAAACAACATAAATTTGGTTTCATCTAGATTCATCTAGATCATTTATTTATATCAAACCACTTCTTTAATATATTTTATAATTCCTGTGTGATCATCTCCAAAACCTGTGGCAATTCCACACCTGAACAAAATATATTTGTGTCATCTGCAAATATTACAAACTTTAAAATCTGCGAGACTCTGCAAATATCATTTATGTACATAATAAACATTTTTGGACCCAATACTGAACCTTGAGGTACTCCACAAGCAATATGCATCAAATTAAATTTATATTCATTTATTTGTACATATTGTACATATTGTATTCCCTAAATAGCTTTTTAACCAGTCCAAAACCACTTCCCTAAACCCGTACCTTTCCATTTTTTTAAATAGAATTTCATGATTAACAGTATCAACGCCTTCTTTAGATCTAAGAAAACTCCGGGTGCGTACCTCTTATTATCTATACATTCTGTTATCCCTTCCATTAAGTCTATCAATGCCAAAGTTGTTGATCTGTTGTTTCTGAACCCATACTGACTATTTGTCAGCAATTCATGTTTTTCCACAAAGCTGTCAAATCTTTGTATGAAAAGTTTTTCCAGTATCTTAGAGAACTGGGAGAGTTTTGACACTGGTCTATAATTTGTAAAATTATACTTTTCACCTGTTTTGTAAATTGGAATAACTTTAGCAACTTTCTTTTTTTGTGGAAAAAACCCTTTTTGAAAAGACAAGTTGGATATATATTTCAATGGTTCTACTATACCCTCAATAACTCTTTTAACTCTTACCATATCAATATCATTCCAATCTGTACTGCTTTTGTTTTTAAGTCCTCTAACAATGTCATAAATCTCTTTCTCTTCCACTGCTCTTAAAAACATTGAGCTTCTATTCCTTTCAGTATCAATATTAAAGTCCCCACAAATAAACATTCCTTTCTGATTGAGATTTGTAAATAGGTTCTCCATACTATCCTTAAA